TCAAGGAAGTGGAGGCGCAGCCTACTGGACACAAAAGCAAGAAGAGGAGCAGACGTTGGCTCAGACCACTATCTCGTACAAGGGACAATCCAAATCAAATTAAAAGCTTTCAGGGAATCAGGAGCTGCAGATAGACCACAAGCCAAGTTCAACACTCAAAAGCTGAAGGACCAGGCTACAAAGGACATCTTCATTGCAAGCATAAAGGACAAAGCCGAGACACAAATCAACACCAGCGAAAAGGTCAGCGTCGAAAAGCACTGGAACAACTTGAAAACGGTGTGGAGCCAAACCTGCATAGAAATTCTAGGCAGAAAAAAGAGACAGGACAAACAGTGGCTCACTACGGACACTTGGAAACTAATAGAAGAGAGAAGGACAGTGAAGCAAAAGATTATCCAGTGCACTGACGAGCAACAAAAACAGGAGCTGAATGCAAGCTACAATACACTGAACAAAAGAGTGAAGAAAAGTGCCAGGGAAGACAAAAGAAAATATTATGAAACCATGGCAAACGAAGCAGAACAAGCTGCAGGCAAAGGAGACCTCGCCACACTCTACCAAACAACTAGGAACCTTTCGGGCAAACGTTCGACACAGATTAAGCCAATAAAGGACGACAATGGAAAGTCAATCACCAAAGAGGTGGAACAGAGAAAGCACTGGGTTGAACACTTCAAAAGACTTCTAAATCGTCCGCCACCTACAACACGCCCAGCAATACCAACAACGGAAGCAGAACTACCAGTGAACACTGACCCCCCGACGAAATCAGAAGTCCTGAATGCAATCAAGATGCTTAAAGCTGGGAAAACACCGGGACCAGATGGAATCCCAGCAGAGGCTTTGAAAATAGACCCAGAGACAACAGCGGACTTGATGACACCACTGCTGGAGAAGGTGTGGAAAGAGGGCAAAGTACCCGAGGATTGGAAGAACGGATACTTATTCAAACTACCAAAGAAAGGAGACTTAAGTCAATGTAAAAACTGGCGTGGAATTATGCTTCTGTCCATTCCAAGCAAGATACTAAGTCGCATCATCCTGGAGAGAATCAAACAAGCCCTAGATGAAAAACTTCGTCCGGAACAGGCTGGATTCAGGAGAAACAAATCATGTATTGATCAAATCGCCACTCTACGGATCATCATTGAACAAAGCTTGGAATGGCAGTCACCTCTCTATCTCAACTTCATCGACTTTGAAAAGGCCTTCGACAGCGTCGATCGAGAGGTCATTTGGAAACTACTTCGCTACTACGGGGTCCCATCGACAATTATACACCTCATCCAACAGTTATACGACAATGCTGCATGCCAAGTAATCCACAACGGGAAACTTACGGAAGCCTTCGAAGTGAGGACGGGAGTGAGGCAAGGCTGTCTACTATCACCAATGATCTTCCTGATTGCAATTGATTGGATAATGCGACAGACAACGGCAACCAACGAGGGAACAGGCATAAAATGGACTGACACAAAAGACTTGGAGGATCTGGATTTCGCCGATGATATATGTCTGATTTCCCATAAACTGGAAGATATGCAAGTGAAAAGTAACAAGTTGGCAGAAGAAGCATCAAAGATAGGACTTCACGTGAACATAGATAAAACAGAGATGATGAAGATTCCTAGCCAACATCAACAGCAACAACAACAACAGACAACAATCAGTATAAGTGGGAAGAACCTGAAAGAAACAACCTCCTTCACCTACCTGGGAAGCATCGTCTCAACTACAGGCGGAACTGACGAGGACATCAAAGCCAGAATCGGAAAAGCAAGACAAGCTTTCATTACTCTCAAATCTGTGTGGAGGTCAACAGCACTCAGCATCAAAAATAAGATCCGGATTTTCAACTCCAATGTGAAGTCAGTGCTACTATACGGATCAGAGACTTGGCCAGTCATAAAGAGCATCTCAAACAAACTTCAAACCTTCATTAACAGCTGTCTCCGCTCAATACTCAAGATCAGATGGCCAGAAAAGATCAGCAACAGGGATCTCTGGGAGCGAACCAATCAGGAACCGATTGTGAAACAAATAGGCAGAAAGAAATGGAGATGGATTGGCCATACGCTGAGGAAACCATCAAGTGACATCACTAGACAAGCCATCGCTCGAGTGGAACCCGAAAGGGAGGCGGCGAGTTGGTCGTCCAAGGGTGACTTGGAGGAGATCATGCGAGGAGGAGATGAAAGCATGTGGACAGACCTGGAGCAGGGTGAAAAAGTTGTCAGAAAACCGAAGGCAATGGAGGTGCGCAGCTGAAGCCCTATGTTCCTCTAGGAACTAAAGGATACAATAATAATAATAATACATCACATCACATCATACTTCATGAATCCGGAGTATGCAGTGGCAAATCACTTTATACGAATTCGTCCGTTATCTTTTTCTTCACTTGATCATGTGACTCACATCACCTTGTCTTCCTTGTCCCGTGTTGCTTTTCATTTCACTTTACTGCATCACTCCCGAATAAAACTATACTTCAGTCTCATTCACGGGAATTTACTCAAGCGCTCGTTCGCTCACTCACTCACTTACTCACATACTCCTTCGATCAGTCAATCAATCAGTCAGTCAGTCAGTGAATCAACTTTCTGATTTCTACATTCAATCTGACAAATTCTCAATCACTCAGGAATGTTAAACTAAGTCTTCGAATAGAATTATGCTCTATTCATCGTAATCGATTGACTCATATTTACTTAACTCAACTTCATCTTCACTCTTCGTTATCTATTCCCGCCACGGAACACATTTCTAGATCCCGATTTTCTCCAACAAATGCATAGAGAAAAGACAACGCCACGACATGTGAGATGATGAGACAAGTGATGAACACGGAAAGCTGACAACATTCAGCTTATAATGCTCGGTAAGTGATAGGCTTCATTCTTTGCGCGTTTAATTGGAAAGCGAACTGTCCAGGGAAATTCTATACCACCAATGTGTGACTTGATCGAGAAGCGGGACAATCTACTATCTAGGGAAGGTACTATACATAGTAATAGACTGTTGCAGTTTTTCAGCTCAACACACATGGAGAGAGACAAGACAACAGTAGACAAATCAAGATGTATCAGCCACCCCTATACTTCTTGTCTAAACCTCTGTGTATGTGTCCCTCTTGCGCGCGCGTGCGGTCTCGCTCGCTCTGTGTGTCCTTCACAAGAAACAAAGATGGATAATGTTGAGAGAGAGAGAGAGAGAAAGAGGGACCGATTGTAATGCAGGTGCACAAATGTCTGCAACAATCTATTCCCTTATTCCTTCAACGACGATCACGATGATGATGATGACGGTGATGATTATTGTTTCTTGTACATGTAGGAGTATAATATCAACATTCTATCATAAGTATAGATGAGTGATGTGTATGCCCACTCACTACATCACAACTCACTCAGTAGGAGGAAACTGTCACCATGACAACATCATCAGCACATATATCCTCCTCATACATACATTTCAATTAGAAGAAATTACAAAGAAAGCAGTCAACAATACTCATCACTCAGACTTTTCCACCCGCCTGCGTGTCTGTATCCGTCTGTCTGTCTGTCTGTCTCTCTCCCGAACGTGCTTTCTCCCTGTCTTTGACTACGTGACTTTCCGAAACCACCTCCACTCTGAGTCCAGTGTGCCAACAATCTTCCTTCTATACGCACATTGTAAGGCAACTCCTCTCATAGGCGAACCTATTAGTCAGTCAGTCAGTCAGTGATCAGTACAATCGTGTGTCAAATTCCCTGTGTACATCTACCTTGTCACTGGAGCTATCTATCTATTACTGTTTATAATGCATTGACTGCACTCACGTATTGGCTGAAGATATCTCCAACTGAGCACATCACTTTTCTTGATGAAATTCCACAGTCAGATTTACTCTCTGATTGAAACTGCCACTACCACAGAACAGAAAGTTGGTAGTGTAATGTAGTGTAGATCATATCACCACCTTTTTCTTCTAACAGTCTCGTCTTCCCCTCCTCACTAATCCCTCATGTACTCTCCACTGAAACAAACAAACAGACAGACAACCAAACAAACAATTAAACGACCGTACAAAGAGACAAACAAACAGTCATAGAAAACATTTATCTCAATAATTCATAATTCCCTATTCCTTTTTACCTATTTCACAAAGGAGAGCTGTGATAATCGTGTTGTGAACATTGGTGCGACATCAGGAGATCTCGTGAGACAAGTATGGAATAGAGACACCAATGTAATCAAATTGAATCACGAAAAAGACATTTTCATCCTTCTCGAGAAAAACTAGTCAACTACTCACTTGTCAGAGGACTCTCTCCTCTTTATTCCCTTAACATGGAATATACTTCATCTGCCTCGATATTCTACTTGTATCATCCCCACCCACCTCATCTTTGAGAAAAGTAAAGAAAAGTAAAGTCATTTTCATGTTCAAAAGTCTTCTTGTCGTTCTTCTCCAAGTGCTTTCTTGACATATTTTTCTTATTTATTCCTGTCACAGTAGTACAATGCTGAGATGTTTCGACAGTCAGAAATAAAATGCTTTCAAAATTTACACAAGGGATTCGAAATTCTTATTCATGGCAACAATAACAGTAATAAGAACATTATTGGCAATATCTGATCTGGAGTACAAAAATAGTGTTCAGATCACATCAATCCACGTGACACCACAACATCACATCACATCACATTACACAACACGACACGACAGACACTAAACCGAACCAAACACGTCATCATAACATCATGAGATCATGAATGGGTTAGTCAAGCGGTGATGGTGGTTGTGGTTGTGGTGTTGGTGGTGATTGGACAACTCTGGTCAGTCAGTTAGCAGTGAGTGAATAGAGGCAAAATGAAATACACAAAAATGCTCGCAAAATCTGCGCAAAGTCAATTCATCATCTTACTAACACAAAGAAAAACAGAGAAATAAATAAACAAAAATACAAAAAGGAACAGAAATGCAACATAAACTAACTGTTTATAATAATAATAATTATTATTATTATTATTATATAACAGTGATAGTGATAGTCATTTTCAGGCATTGTGATATGAGTTTGATCGCTTTTTGTATAGTTTGAGATTCAACTCGCTTGCCAATAGGAGATCCCAGGAAGTCACTTTTCGCTCTACTGGATCATATTTTCCAGCAATGAAGTAATCGAAGACGTCTGTGGGATCACCGTCATAACCGTAATCACCGTCACCCGGTAGACTTATCTCATCCATGTCAACAGATCGACTGGATTGTATATATCCTAAATGTTCTCCTATGGATGTTGAAGGTACCTAAAATGAAGGGAATCAAGATTACTTCTATGACTGAAGATAGACACACATATAAATATCAAGGAACTTAAGTGCAAAGACTGGTCTGATAACGCTTAGACGACATCCACATTTCTCGTCACCACCCCATATAGAAAACGTCGATCACGATTATAAACTATGTGAACAATCAATCCACTGCTTAAGAGTAATAGACACAGTGTCCTGCCTGGTCCATCCAATCTAATCCAGCATGCATCAAGACATGACATGTATTTTCTGTTAAAGACACACGACAATCTGTTCATGTGTACCTATTGACTTTACAACTATACATATACATCTGAAAATGTTTCTACTGAGTCGAATTGATTTACAATATCACTTCGGTCGGAGTATCATAAGTTGTCTCAAATTTTCCCATTATTATTCACGCCCACATATCAGCAGAGTGTCGTATAGATGGCATACTATACTGCACTATACTTTATCAGACTGTTTATCACTCGCTTACTCGGCAAAATGGTTGAAATACTCGTCAATAAATCATGCAGATAAACCTTGACACTAACACACCTTGAAACTGACGTTCCATCCAGTGGGAACATTGTATCTACTCTTTGGTCGCTGACATATTCCTAAAAGAGTGATAATCATTGGTTTAATAAGAGTATGTACACAGTCTTCTTGTCGTGTGACATTACACTCAGAAATTTCTACACATGAGAAATATACTGTGTATGCATGTGTGTGTATATGAAACTTACTTTATCAATGGAAAGGAATTTATCTTCCTCTAACTTCCTACCACATGTTTGCAGAAATTCACCGTATGACTTAGCCATTTTCACAAGACGTATAATGCATTCTGCTCCGTTTTCATCTTCATGTTCAGTGGCGAATACGGCACCTTTAACATGCTGAATTAATTGACCATCTACTCCAGCTTCACGTGGTTCATAATACCTGTGTAGGAAGTGAAATAAACTCGGATGAGGTGAGGGGATTAGTTATTCTACCCTAACACACTCCTATTATTGAAAAATCTGCTTATTGAGGTGATTCATTGTAGAACAGTCTCACTGAACAACAACATTGTAGTCTCTGGTGTTTTTATCTTATGTGTGTAGAACGTGATCAGAACTATTACTTGTCGATGGATATCAAGTATACACGAAGCCAAACTGATGAGCTTTTTGGTGGCTACCTTCATATGAAGAGAGGAGTAAGACAAGACTGACTACTACTATCAACCAACGATGGTAATCCTGATTGTAGTGAGGTGAATTATGTAGCGCTTAGCGGGGAATCAGAAGAGAGGCATGTGTCCGACCGATTAGAAGACTTTGGAAGATTTGGATTTTACCTGACGGTTTACCTCGAATGTTCCATGAAGTCGAAGATCTTCTACAGGCGAAAATCCACACACTGACAGAAGACGCTGGTAGTGAAGATAAGACTTCACGTGTGAACATGAAGATACTCACTTATCTAACCACAGCAAGAAAAACAAGCATGAATGGAAGAAACTTGAAGGAAGTCACCTCTTCCACTCATCGAGGCAGAATCATCATTTCAACCACAGTCAAGAAGCACCGATGAGGATTTCAATATCAGTCACGATCGGAAAAGCAACACAAAGATTCCTTAATCCGAAATCAGTGTGGAAATCTACTGTAGTCGTCAACATGAGGAATAAAATGAGAATTTTCAACTCTGTCAATTTAGTCAGCATTCCCATGTACTTCAGGGACTTGACGCGAACTTCCTCAAATGTATTTCGAACAGGATTCAAACGTTTATCAATAGGTGTCTTCGCTAGCTGTAATATTGAAGATCAGTTGGCCGACCAGGACGGATTACCAAGCAACTAGGAACTCTGTGATCCAACCAACCAACTAACCAACCAACGAAGATTTTTCACCCAGACAAATATTCCGAAGGAGGTGGAGATGGGTTGGATGCACACTGAAGAGACCTTTTTCAGTGACACTACGCACCAGCCATGGTCTCCAGTGGAGTTTCAAGCGGAAGCAACTATTTGACAGTTCGAAGGCGGGGAGGAAATGAAAGCTTGAGAGTGATGGTAGAGGCGGTTGAAGAGGACTGCAGAGAACAGAGATGTGCTACTGATGTCCTAGATCCAACTTGGAACCCTGGTGAATAATGACTGAAGATATTAATACATTTAAATATTTAACGCTACACACACACACACAAACTAGAGATAAGTATTCCTCATATTTGAGAAGTTTTTCCATTGACAGTTGGGTTGTTCAAACATTTCAGTTCGCGTCCAACCTCTTTTGTCTCTACTGATATATTGTTTCATTGGAAATCACACAAAGCTCAAATTATGAATAAAATGTATAGATTGGGTCGAGTTATTCAACCGAATTAATAATATGCATGTAATGCATATCCGATCGAAATTTGAAAATCTCAATTCTAACAGTTCAGAGGGAGAAGTTCAATCACCTGCCTATTCACCGAGCTTTCAAGAATTCTCTTTATTTACTAGGCATGAATTTCACCAGACTTCGCCACTGAATACCGTTTACCATAACACAATGACTTAGATTGTGTAGTGTTGACTGTTATCTTGATCATTTTTATTATTATTGTTCTTTTGGGGTCCTAGTGGAACATAGGGCTTCAACTGTACGTCTCCACTTGCTTCTGTCTTCCTTCTGCTGTACTTTCCACCTGCATCCATGTTAGTTAGTCCATACTGTTTCAACTCCTCTTCACACGATCTCCTCCATGTCACCCTTGCACTGACGTCCTACTCGCCGCTTGCTTCCCTTTCGGGTTCCACTCGAGCAATGGCCTGACGCGCGCGCGATGTCACCAACCGACCTCCTCAACGAGCGAGTTTCCAATCCATCTCCACTTTCTCCTGCATATTTGCTGTTGGTTGGCGATTGGTTCTTGTTTTGTTTCTTCCCATAGTTTCTTGTTGGTGGTTCTTTCCGGCCCGGCCCGGCCATCTGATCTTCAGTATAGAGCCAGTGAAGACAGTTGCTGATAAAGGTTACGTCTGTAACACACTGTTGGAAATATTCTTGTGACCCGCCCGCCCGCCAAGCTTCTGATCCGTATAGAAGAACTGGCTGACTTGACGTTTGCATTGAAAATCCGACCGAATTTTGTTGTTGATGCTGGCTGAGTGACGAAGATTGGTTTCCAGATTGGTTTCAGGTTGATGAGTGAATGTGTTTCTCGCCCCGCCCCCCGATTCTCGCTCGATCCGACATCCTCGTCCGTTTCGACTGTCTGTAGTTGAGACGATGCTCCCTAGATAAGTGAGTTAATGAAGTAACCACTTTCAAATCCCTCCCGTTGATGGTGATTAGCTGCTGGCTGGATGTTGTTGCTGTTGTTGTTGTTGTTGTGGTTGTTGGTTGGTTATTTTCATCACCTCCGTCTTGTCTATGTTCACCTGGAGTCCTGTCTTCGCCGGCTGCTTCCTCGACCAGTTTGTCGGTTTTCGCTCGCTTGTAAGTCTTCGATTTTGCGTGACATCAAACATAAATCATCCACTCGCGAAATCCAGGTCCGCTAGGTCCTTCACGTCGGTCCACGATACCCCTGTCATCTCGTTTCCCACTCACTGTCTGACGCAAAATCCAGTCCAACACAATAACGAATATCATTGGTGATAAGCAAGCACCCTTGTCTGACTCCTGTGTTTGCTCCAAACGCCTGGCTGAGTTTTCCGTTGTGGATCACTTGACATGTTCCGTTGTCGTACAGCTGTTGAATAAGGTTGATGAATATTTGGGGTAATCAAAGCATATGCGAAATACTTATCTCCTTTGTCAGTATAACGAAACAATGATTATTTATTCACATATGTATTAGCCAAAGACTTACCTTCAACGACTGTTCCAGGATAAAGATTGACTCCCAACTTATCACTCCACGCTGCACACACACGTGTTCCCGGCGGGACATGATGAATTGAGTCGGGGAATACTTCTAGGACAGCTTGTTGTACAACTTGCCATCCATAGAGTAATAGGTCCATTTGGCGTCTTCTGTTTGAACCAGGTGATGTGTTGCAACAATTTGTATTGTTGGCGGTAGATGGCGTCTGTAAACAGCCATTCGATGGTGACAGTGATGACGGCTGGCGTCGTGATGATGTCCCATTGGTGTTATTACTATGACTAGATGTTGTGAAATGATTATCATTAGCAACACGTGGGCCAGTTGAGCGATTACACTTCTCACTGTCCAATTGTATACGGAATATTCGATCACGTAGGTAATCACTAGACAGGCTAGTTTGAATAGCTAATGGAGAATGGTCTGTAATTGTTCGACGATAAGAATGTATAAGAGAAACAAAAGTAAATACCAACCAACTTCTGCACAAATGTGACAATAAAACCTAACCAGTCTCAGAATACTATAAAAAACAATTTTCAGGTAAATTTTTTCAGAAACGTGCATCAATTAAAGAGCCCTTGGAAATGAGAAAGCACCGGACAAACACACCGATTACAATTTAGTTTGGGACAATTTAGCAGGAAAGTCAACATTTGTCTATATGCAATCCTCAATCCTCTGTAAGTATCGTCATTCGTGCTCAACTCGGCGAGTTCCACAAGTCACAAATTCTAGTCGGAATTTTGAGAAATCCATGTGGAATTTAGTCACTGCTGTGCTGAAAACAGTTCGATAAACATTTGTCAAGCCCGCATTGATAATAATTCATACTGGGCTTGCATTAATATGTTTGCCTCTTGTAAGCCGTCATCAACCCTATCGCATCTCACCAGGCAACACAATCGAATAATGTTTTACTTCCGTCTTTCATCCTCAAGATAAGGAAAGACTTTCTGTACATAAACTGACTACTAGATTATTTGTTCAGAACAGCGGTAAATACTACCCACTTACGGTGCAAAGATTTATGACGCTTGTATAAATCACATAATACTAGTCAGAGGTAAGCGAAGAAGTGACAACTTAAGTGTATGTGAGTTTATCATAATTCTAGTGGAGATTTCTTTGTGTAAACCAACAAAGGAGGGATATAATTGGGGAAGGTAATCATGTCGCCAATGTTGACACCCAAATGTCAGTTAAAGTCATTCGAGTGAGATTGCAGAATTCAAGCGAAAAGCCTGCTCAAATTGTCACACATCCACACACACACACACACACTATCCAACAACAAGACAAACATAGTACAAAGAAAATCTCGGGTCCAAAACACAAACAGACGGCTGAAAGGTTTCAATAGTCAAACTATCCCAAGTGGGATAATACTGCATGCATACTGTATTGTTGATCCCGTTTTAGCACTACAAAAGTATCATCCACATATCTTAAGCATATTTTAAGAGTGAGTATGCTTGAAAAGATGTTATCGTCGAATCTGCTGATGAAAAGATCAGCGACTATTGGAGAAACTGGTGAACCCATAGTAACACCATTTGTCAGTCTATATAAATTCTCTTGAAATGTGAAATAATTACTTTCTAGACAGAATTCCAAGCTGTTAATTATTTCACTGGTGTCCAGTGGACATTTGTGTGATAGCGTTCTATCTGATTCTAGTAGACTGGAAATGATAACAAGACTTTCGGTAATAGGAATACTAGTATATAATTAGCATTAAGTAGTGAAATGCCGATAAAAACAATATCGTTTTGTGTTTCATTCATTGGGAATCTATTGGAACCTACTTCAAAGCTCTTAATAACAAATCGAGAGACTTAATAATAGTGAAATGCAGTCATCAATTTAAAGAAATATTTTTTGCGCTAAACATAAGTGTTTTTCAATGATCGAAAATGCCCATTAGAAATTTCAAAGGCCTGATTACTGAACAAAGAATATTCCCTCCGATGACGTCCTCTTTATCACGTTCTACAGTTACATATCCATCTATAATATTGCTGAAAGAATTAGAGTTATTAACGAC